AGTTTTAGGTGATTTGATGTCTGACAATACAACCACACCATCAGCATAACACCCGAGTCGGAAATGCACTACGGGCATACCCACCCCACCTCCCATCTAATCCTCGACCGTGCCTCGATCGGGGTGGACACGCATTTCACTTTCTCGACTGATATCCTAACCCAAACACGCATGTGGCTGCAATCTGTTCGACGGCTCCTCTACGCAGAAGTACTAAACCGTTGGCAGGTGCCAGTTAACAACCCCATGTCTGCGAACCAGGCTTTTTTACTTGCCACGCGGAACGGGGGGCTGTCGCTGAGAAGAGAGGATCTGGGGATTATTGCCCCTGGGGCGAAGGCTGATTTGGTGATTTGGGATGGAGGGACGGGGCCGAATATGTGGGGGTGGAGGGACCCGGTTGCGGCGGTGGTGTTGCACGGGAATGTTGGGGATGTGGAGGGGGTGGTGGTGGATGGGAAGTGGAAGAAGAGGGGTGGGAAGTTGACGGATGAGAGGTTTGAGGAGGTGAAAATGAAGTTTGCGGAGGTTGCGAGACGGGTGCAGGATAGGGTTGTTGAGGCGGAGGTTGGGTTGCCTGGGGAGGGGGAGAGGTTTGTGGTTAGTGGGCTGGAGTTTGGGAACAGTACCGTGGTTGATGTGCAGGTTGGGGAGGGGGATGGGTATGGGGGGTTGTTTTTGTGAAGGGGTTGTTGTTGTTGTTGTTGTTGTTGTTGTTGTTGTTGTTGTTGTTGTTGTTGTTGTTGTTGTTGTTGTTGTTGTAACTGTTGATGTTATTTTGTAATCATCACTTGGACTGGTCTCGATCCAACAGGCGTCAGGTGTTCAGGGGCAAAATCCATCTGATCTAGAAGCAGCACAGAGAAGGTAGTGATTATACGCTCCTGTCCATGCTAGCAATTCCATTCGGATATATGAGCTATCAGGTCTGGATCACTTCCAAATTATCCGCCTGGTGACACAAAACGGACGGTTGGAGCAGGCAAAGCCGCTGCCGTGTCGGTGGTGCCATGGTAATAGAGATATGGGTGCGGAGAAGCGGGGATGACTGAATTCCTGCTCGGGACATAATTCAAGATCCCGATATTCCAAAAGACCCTTGTTATCAACAGGCCTGCCTACCTAGGTGGTAGAAACTTAATGCAAAGTCAAGTTATCAAGTCAAAGACAGCAGTCACAGATTCTTTCACCACATCTATCTTCGCCATTGACCCACAATGGCCCTTGAAAAAGTAATAGTCGTCGGTGCCGGCCCCTCCGGCCTCCTCTTGACCCTCCTCCTCTCCCGGGCCTCCATCCCCGTCGAGCTCATCGAACAGACCGAAGCCTCGACACCAACCCCCGCGCCACCACTACAGCCCCGAGTCCTGCTACGAATTCGACCGTGCTGGTATCCTCGACGAAGTCCGAGAAGCAGGATTCATCCCTGACGGAGTATCATGGCGAAGACTGGAAGGCGAGGACAAGCGTCGACTCATCAAAATCACCAACACGGCCCTCAAACCCGGGGATGACCCAGAATCAGCCGCCTTCAGACATCGCATGGTCTGCCTTCCGTTGCACAAACTGGGGAAAATATTGGAGACACATGTGAAGAGTCAAGGCACAGCTGAGATCAAGTATGGTCGGAAGGTTGTCGAGATTGGCGAGTATGCTGATAAAAGCAAGGCTTGGGTCAAGGTTGAAAAGGCCGATGGGAGCACCGAGATACGTGAGGCAGATTACGTTGTTGGCTGTGATGGCGCGAATAGCATCATTCGGCGGAAATTGTTTGGTGACTGGGTGTATCCAGGGTATACCTGGGACAAGCAGATTGTTGCGACAAACATCTATTATGATGGGTTCAAAGACGTTGACTTTGATGACAGTCAGTTCTTTGTGCATCCTGAACATTGGTGAGTCAGCAACTTTCTTGATATCGAGCGTTGCCGTCAACTGGCTCTGATATGACTCAAGGCACATGGTTGCAAGGATACAGCCTGATGGGCTTTACCGCGTAACTTATGGCGAGATCGGTGGACTCACCTATGACCAACTCAAGGAGAGACAACCAGCCAAATTTCAAGCAATCCTACCCGGCAATCCAACCCCTGACAAATATGGACTTGTCAACTTCAGTCCGTACAAAGTCCATCAGCGATGTGTTGACAGGATGAGAGTTGGACGCTTCTTGCTTGCGGCTGACGCAGCCCATCTTTGCAATCCATTGTAAGTCATTATCCGGCCACAGGTCCTAGCGGAAGACCCGTTGCTGACTGCAAATCAGTGGAGGCATGGGTTTGACTGGAGGCATCGCAGATGTTGGCAGTTTGTATGACTCCCTTCGCGGCATTGACAACAACAAGGCAGATGACTCTATTCTCGACAAATACGATGAAGTGAGACGGAGGATCTGGCACGAAGTCATTGATCCTATCTCTACGGAAAACATGCAACGTCTCTTCCAGTACCAAAACGCGGATGAGTTTGTCAACAAGGATCCGTTGTACAAGCTGGTGAGGGAGATGCAGAATCCCGACAAGAAGCTTGAGAAGGGCGGCCCTCCAAATGCAAGTGTCACTGTTTCCCAGCGGTGGTTGTGGTCATGAGTCGCTGACATGGTCGAAACAGCCCGGACTGCCACCACTGACGTACGACATGACACAACATTATGTTGCATAATCCCGTTGTTACTGTCGACTGAGACTTTCTCAGCCACTTACGAGTAGCTGGAATTGGGGTTTCAATGTCTTGGAAACTCCCCCGAAAGACCCGCTTCCGGAATGCAAATGCCTTTTAGCCGGACGGAGGGAATTCCAGAAAACTGGTAAATACTAGCCACCGTTCTGGGAAGGTCGGAGGTTAGAGCTACGCCAAGTCTTGACGGCTGGTTGCATAGCAATGGGTGAATCCTGATATGTAACTGTACCGGGTAACGTTGAGTGGAATGCGGGGAATATCAGAGACATTGTGACGATCTCAATCTCCATATCTGAATGCAGGATCCCGATTTTACCTTCACGTGCATGCCAGGCATGGATGGGATGATGACATGACTTTTGATCTTTTGCTCCTCCGATCATCTCTTCGGTGTTGATCCCAAACATCCCGAAGTGTCAGCTTGCGGCACAAACACCCACCATGCGGCTCCAACCGTTAACCGTTGGCGTTTCTGCTGCCGCGAACTTGCATTCGGTCGCGGCCGACCCGTTGGTATTCCTGAACGGCCAGGTCACGGCCATCCCATCGTGGGACCTCCAGTCATCAGCAGAGATCGGTACAGATCTTGCGGCTCTGTCGAAAACAGGGGTCGACACCTCATCATGGCGCCACATCACCACATCGAAGTGCACTCTGATGGGCTGCCTGATCAACGCCGGGGTTTACAATGAGGATGATCTGTTCTACTCAGAAAACATGAAGAGGGTGGATGACAGGCAGTTCTCAGTCCCATGGACGTACCGACAGGAATATTCGCTCGAACCTGGCCCTGGGAAGCACTTCTTCCTCAAGACGCATGGAATAACATCACGAGCCGACATCTTCTTGAACGGAAAGCAAGTCGCGTCAAAAGATCAGCAAGCCGGTTCGTTTGCTGGCAAGAACTATGACATCACCAAGCTAGTCGCCAAACAGAATGCTCTTGCTATTCAGGTGCACCCTACAAGCTACTACCACGATTTTGCTCTTGGGTGGGTGGATTGGAACCCATGGCCGGCCGACAACGGGACCGGCGTGTGGAGGGACGTTGAAGTCAAGCAAACGGGACCTGTAGCGCTGGAGAGCTTGCGGATCATCACAAAAGTTGGACCGACGGTTGAGAGACTAAAGGACCCAGCAACTGTCACGCTCAAGTCTCGTGCTGAGAATTTGGAGGACAAACCCATGGTTGTGACAGCTCATGGTTCCGTCTTTGCACCGTTTGGACGGAAGGCAGCCCCGATAACATGGAGCAAACAGCTCACCCTTCCACCACGATCCATCACCGACATCGTCCTCGAAACCACCGTGACCGACCCAGCCATATGGTGGCCAAAACAATGGGGCGATCAACCCCTCTACAGCGGAGCCCTCGCCATCACCGTCAACAACACCCTCTCCGACTCCATCACCCAACAATTCGGCTTCCGCAGCGTCACCTCCAAGCTCAACTCCCACCAAGACGTCACCTACATCGTCAACCACGTCCCCTTCCAAGTCATTGGCGCAGGCTACACCCCCAACATCTTCCTCCAATTCGACCCCTCCAGATGGGAAGCCGAACTCCAGTACGTCCTCGACCTCGGCCTCAACACCGTCCGCCTCGAAGGCAAAAACGAGCACCCCATCCTCTACGAAATCGCCAACCGCCTCGGGGTGTTCCTCATGCCAGGCTGGGAATGCTGCGACAAGTGGGAGTCCTGGTCCTACAACCACGACCTCTTCCTCAACCCACCATTAGTCTGGTCAAACGCCGATTACACCATCGCCAACAACTCGATGCTCCACGAAGCAGCCATGCTCCAAACCCACCCCTCCGTCCTGACCTACCTCATCGGATCAGACTATTGGCCTGACGAACGCGCCACACCCATCTACCTCAACGCTTTGAAACACTATGACTGGCAGACTCCCATCATCGGGTCGGCTTCCAAAAGGGGGTACTCCCCCCTCACCGGCCCTTCGGGCATGAAAATGGAAGGACCCTACGACTGGGTCCCCCCAAACTACTGGTACGAGACCTCCCCTCCCCGCGCAGGCTCAGCTTTCGGTTTCGGGTCAGAACTCGGCGCCGGAGTGGGAACCCCCACCGTATCCTCCCTAACGAAATTCCTCTCCCCTTCTGACCTTGACGACCTCTGGAAAAACCCGACAAAACCATTATATCACATGTCCCGCGAAGGATCAGAGTTCACCACCCGGCAAATCTACCACTCTGCACTTTCCGCCCGGTGGGCTAGTCCGACATCATTGGAGGATTATCTCATGAAATCGCAAATAATGGACTACGAGGCTACAAGAGCGCAGTTTGAGGCTTTTGCGGTGAAATGGAGTGATAGGAACAGACCGGCAACGGGATTGATATATTGGATGCTGAATAATGCGTGGCCGTCGCTGCATTGGAATGTTTGGGACTATTACATGAAGCCGGGGGGGAGTTATTATGGTGCGAAAGCTGGGGCTAGGAGGGAGCATGTTGTTTATGATTATATCACGAAGGAGGTTTGGATGGTTGATAGGACGGCTGATGATTTTTATCGGGAGAGGGAGGTGGAGATAGAGGTTGTGGGGTTGGATGGCGGGGTGAAGTTTGGGAGTTTGGTGAAGGTGGAGAGTTTGCCTAATGGGAGTGGGAGGGTGGCGGGGTTGGGCGGGAGGGGGCGTTGGGGACAACATACACCACCACCGCAGGACTCTCTGCCACCAGCGCCAGCCATACAACATTTTCTCCCAACCCCACAAATCAACACCCACCCCCGACCCTTCAACCAACATCCTCATGCCCTTTTACCCTCGATCCCATTTTTGCAACCTTCACGCCTGGTACATTCCAAATC